TAGCAAGTAAAGCTATTTTGTTTATCATAATAAGAAGATACAATACATGGAGAAAAATATTCAAGGAAAGCCTAGTGTAACAACCTTAATTTTAATTGTCCTTGCAAAAACAATTTCTCTTAATACATTTTATAATTTTATAAATGGAAAAATCAAAGGAAAACTTTTTTTTATATTGCTAAAATTTTAGCAGGGTCTCTCTTTAATTGGTCAATACCAAGTTACTTACTCTAAAAAAATTATGTCATTCAAGCCAAAAAAAAAATGTAACATCATCATTCATTATTTCTCAAAAGTTAAACTTATATAAATATTAATAAGAGATAACTTATATATTTTAATAAAGCATGGATAGTTTCTAAGTTAAATTACCATTATATATTTACCATTTATATTATTTTTTGTTTTAACTCTACATTGATGTATTTAATTCGAAAACTTTTAAAGCTTTGGTTTCTATGAGATTTTAACCCAAAACACATCAACCTATCAAATAATCTTTAATAAAATTTCAATTTGATTTAACAGTAGATTAAAAGATATGTTTAAGATACAAAACTGGATAATTTATAATTTATGTTAGTGAAAATAAGATTTATACCTCGTACATTTATTTAAGATTAGTACATAAAATCATTGAAGGCATTTGGATAGACTTGTGATCAACATTTTCTCTCTCTCTTTTATAAATAAATATTTTAATTAATACAAGAAATTCTAACAAGGGTTATACCCAGAGTGCATGTATGTTTAAATCTATATACATATAAAATTAAAATCCAAGGCAAATATGTTTTTAATATAAATATAATAAAAGAGTACTAGCATGTATATTAAATATATATTCAAATTTGAAATTAATATATAATCAAAGTCATACAAGCATATTATTAATAAAAATAACTATATTTAAATTTAAAAAATAAAAATACTTATTTATTGAAACACTTTAAAATAATGAGATTTTTGTTAGTATCAATGATAAATTATTTATTCTAAAATCTTTATTATTTATCACTTCTATAACTAGAATACTTGCAATATATTTCTAAGATTCCAATAATACTATTTTAATATAAATATATTTCTAAATAATATCTTTGAATTAAAAGTTATTGAAGTCAAATATCTTTAGCTTTGCCTACACTCATCGACTCTCCTTAGACTTCCCTTTTACGTTTGCTTATAAGATTATTACATTTCCATACGTTCTGCCACTATTGCATCGTGGCCTTCACTTTGCTTGAGCTTGTGCTTTTGCTTTTGCTTTTGCTGCATCGTGGCCTTCACTTTGCTTGAGCTTTTGCTTTTGCGTTTGCTTTTGCTTTTGCTTTTTGTTTTTTGCTTTTGCTTATAAAATAATCACATTTCCACGTGGCAGGGACTTCTTAAATACTGAGGCCAGCTCCTTTTGCCTCTCCTTCGAGTTGTTTCTTTGAATTTAGATGCTTTGTATAGCTCCGATCGCTTTCATTTCTGAGAGAGAGAGAGAGAGAGAGACTCCGCACGTTTTCCATGATGATTGCCTTTGTATTTTTTTTATTACAATAACTAGCTGAAAGAAGGCACCAATTTTTTAAAAAGAAACCTTATTTTGTCGTTCCACTAAAATGAAAATAAAACAAGGGGAGGTGTGCCCACAAATCTGTTTTAGCATTTCTGGCAATTGGTTCACGATGAGACACCGGCTCGCGGTATAGCACGAACACCAGTACCCATTCAAGAAAACTTGAAATGCATGGCTAAACCACTATTAATAATAATAAAAAAAATGGCTAAAACATGTATCACTCTCATAAATTATTGTTTATTGGAGCCGTAGTTTATTTCTTATATATATATATATAATTTTATTCTTTATACTCATAAATTATTGTTTATTGGAGCCGTAGTTTATTTCTTATATATATATATATAATTTTATTCTTTATATTATTTGAGAATTGTATTTGTACTACCTCAAATATAACTCGATTAAAATTTAGTATGATAACAAATTTAGTTTGATATCAAAAACAAAAAAAATCTCAAAATAACCTTGTGTGTGGGTGTATATTGAGATGACGATGAGTTAGATCAATTTAAATCGACTTGTGTTAACTTCTCAAACTCATATATTGGTAATAGACATGGTTATGCTTAATATATATATATATATATATATTGAGATGACGATGAGTTAGATCGATTCAAATCGACTTGTGTTAACTTCTCAAACTCATATCTCGGTAATGGACATGGTTATGTTTAATAAATCTTTTTATCTATTTCTCATTTAATTATATAATAATAAAAATCAACATGTAGGAAAGTTATAGAAAAAGATTTAAGAAAAACAATCCCCATGAATGGCCACACAAAAAGAATGCTTCCTAAATTTATAAAATAATGCTATAACATTATTTCAAAATTTAATAAAATAATATCCAAAAAAATTAATAGTCGAATAAATGTTATATAAAAAAAAAGCACCATGAAGGGTAGTGCTTGCCAATGTAATTAAGGATAAAAAAGACCATGATCTTAGTAAAATAAGTAAAATTTTAATGATATCTAATAAAAAAAATTCAAAAAAAAATAAAGAATAAAATAGATTTTACGAGTGGACCTTTATGTCTAGCCCACAAAGAAAGAGGTTAGGTTAGGTTGTTGCACCAAGTTTCCTTTTTATTTCTCTTTATAATAAAAAATAAATAAATAATTATTATTATTATTGTCCTTTTTATTTCTCTTTATAATAAAAAAAAATAAATAATTATTATTGTTGTTGTTATTTTATATATATATATATCACCTATTGGATTTGCTTTGGCTACTAATTGGGCTTTGCCTCTTTGACATTAAAAAAACTTATTAAAGAACTTATTTTCAATCATTTTTTCATCTAAAACAAATTTCATAAATCTCAAAAAACTAATATATAATCTTAAAATAACTTTTAATATGTAAAAAAAATCAAAATTAACCTAAAATAAAAAAGAATTTCTAATCCATATTCTCAAGTTTTTTTTTCTAGTGATATCACGGGTAAAAAAAACCCTGAATAAAATTTATTTTATTAAATAAAACTTAATAACATTAAGATTCACCTTATAGGTTGTCAAAATATAAAGTACCGATTACCTTTTTTTTTCTTCATTATTTTTTAATGGTTTTCTTTTATTTTTTTCAAACTCATGGATCAAGATATGAATAAAATGAGATTTTGTGTCAAAATAATAAAAGGACCAAAAATGAAATTTACCAAACTCCAAAGACAAAAAATTTTAAAAAATTCCTTATAAATATCATAACAATTCATAGTATTTTTCTTAAAAACTATATTGCAATCACATTAAATGTGCCACATTTTTTAGGTTTACATTAATAGGCTGAAAAATAGATAAAAAAAAATAAAATTAATAGTGTTTTTTTATTGTTGCTTTTTTTATTAAAAAATTAAAAGATGCTATATGTACATAATTTCACTTTATTTACTTGGGAAAATCATCATGATATATGAAAGCTAAATTATTTTTATGATAAAACAGGGAACAATGCGTCTTTGACATGCAAAAATCCTCCTCCTTCAAACAATTGTTAAGATACCATTCTCTTAGGCGCACAGTTTTTTGCTTATGAGTTTTTTGAAGTCTTGTCAGAATTTTCTTTACAATTATTCATAGTAATTACTAATATTATTATATAAAAAAATCTAATTTATTTAAAAAATATAGTGTTATGGAATGACTTCTAAAATACCATCACAATTATTATATTTAAAGATAATTTTACTTTAAAATATATAAAAAATAAAACAAAAACAATGGTGAAAGGCCACAAGAGTTAAGCCCAAATATGCCTCACCTTGAAAGGATATGCTAACCATACATGGGTTTGAAAAAGTTCAAGTCCACACACCTATCATTTTTATTTTACTTATATTTTTTTAAAAATTACATTTCAAATCAACTTTTCAAATAATAATAATAAATAAAAAACAATTTATCATATGTAATATATTTAAAATAACACAAGCAACAAATTATTAAAAAGAAATTTCTCTCCCTTCGAACATGACTTCTCTCTCCTCTCCACAGATATAAAATCAACCAAAATCTAAATGGATCATTTATTGAGAAAGATTGCAACATGTACTCATTAAGGCAATCTTCGCATTGGCGATGGTGTCTCTACCTAAGCATTCCACATAACAAGAGAGGAGTTGCCCAGCCACAACCACTCCACCATCCACAGAATAGCAGCCACAACCACTCCACCATCCACCATCCCCACCGACCAGCCCACCTTCATCACGAGGTCATTTCTGCCATGTCCTAGAGATATAGGCTCTGGAGTTTTGAATTTCAACCTACAATTTAAAACTCAAGCAACCTCAATCAAAACCCTTTTTTTTTTTTTTCAAAACAAACCCAATGACATAAACATCAGACTTTTTTTGTAGACAGAATATGACCACCCAAAAATTCTCTTCCTCTCCCCTCTTCAACACCTCTCTCAATTATCAGAGATCGTGGCAACGGAGATTTCATGAGTGAAATGTAGATGTTAAAAACTACAAAGACAAAAGTGAAGAAAAAACTCCAAACAATATCAGTGCAATGAATAGACGAAAGTGTACAGTGAAACTCATCACTCATTTATCTTTATTTTATTTTTAATTTTTACTTTAATTTTAATTTTTAATTTTTAATGTTAATAATGCATGCACAGACCGGAATAAATGTTAATTTTGTACAGTTTCGAGAACAAATAAGGGTAACAATCGAGCACTGTGGTTTTCCTTATTTTTTAAAGGTGTTGTGGTTTTTATTATTTTTTAAAGTATTTTTTATTTGAAAATATATTAAAATGATGTTATTTTATTTTTAAAAAAATATTTTAATATTAATACATCAAAATTATCTAAAAACATAAAAATATATTAATTTAAAATAAAAAAAAAATTAATTTTTTTAAAAATACATTTGAAACACAAAAAACAAAAAAAAAACAAGATAGAACTTGTTTGCAAAATCAAAAAACATTAACATACTCTTACATTACAATACATTTGTAGCCTTGCCTGTGATAAAAGCGTAAAAATCCTTTCATCGCAACAACACTCTTAAATATAAGGTCATGATCAACACAACCAAAAAGGTTCTGCTCAGACTGGCGAGTGAAGGTGCACCAGAAAAACTAAATCTCCGGGCCTGGTCCCTGCAGAATGTAAAATCAGACCATTAACAGAGCAGATCGCATTAAGTAATTACAATGAACTTTAGTCTACAGCCATTCAACTTTGTGAAATGGAAAGCAGGTAGGAAAAAAACTTGTCCAAGAATGTTCCGATATCAATAATTTTGTATGATTTGCACACCATGCCATGGTTCCAGTATATGATGAGATATCCAGAAACGATCATGGAAAAGTAACAGAACCACCAAGAAAAGATCAAACTTTGAACAAAATTAATTCGAAACTTAGGGCCTAGATGGATAGACTTCCAGTAAATGTACAATTAACTAAGAATATTAACAGGATAAATCAAGTATAGTCCTATTTCTGAAATCTTACTTCTGTAAGGATGAGAGTATGCCACAATATATAGTATTATCAGGCAAAGGAGCCTCGGAATTGTCGATCTCTGGATTTATAATGCTCAAATATAATTCTTGGCCCAGATACCATGAGTCAAGATTCTCTGAACGGAGATTCCAAATGCCAGCATTGTCAAGAGAAACTAAAATAGCTGTCCAAGCTCCAGGAAAGACCTGTTGTCAGAAGAGAAATAAGAACTGTTTCTAAATGTTAGTGGCTTAAACAGTCTACCAATTCCCCTTTCCATTCCTCAGATGAACTAGGCATAAAACGAAACTCAAACCACCCAAAATCACCTAAGATTTCATCATTCAATGGAAGAGTTGTCATACCTATTGGCATTCAAAATTATGTAGTTAATTTACTTCCTTGGTGGCCTTTTTGGGCAACTTGGCACCAAAACAATCATCATTACATTCAAAAGGAAACTGTCCTTGCAACCCCATTATTCTTGCTGTTATGTTCCCTTGCATGTCATGATTCCATCATAGCATTAAATATGAGCACAGCCTAGTCTCCACCTTGGCAAAATTTAGCCTTCCTAACAGTAGTATAATTTAGAGCAATTTCCAGTTTTCCTTAAAAATATATAAAGCATATTAGCAGTTATTCTAATCCCACAACTGCCAATCCAATGAGCAGGGCTGGTGATTGGATTAGCCTGATTGTCAACTGTATTTCAGTCTAACCCTTTCTCTTATAGCTTTCCAATGGAAAACCTGTTGGGCCACTGGCTTGATACAACCATTTGCAATGACAGTTACATGATAGAAGTACCTGTGTAGTGCTGCGAGCAACACCGTCCCATTTGTTGTATGTGCTTCTGCTATTCTCTGACCACACTCCAAAATCCATACTACAGAGCAGACAGGAAATTTGAAAACTATGTTTGAATATCTGAGTTTCCTTACATAGGTTTAGAGACAGTAAGGGCATCAAAAATAAAAGCTCACCCCACAACAAAAAATGCATATCCATCCATATGGTAGCTCTGGACAGCGGTATCACTGTTCTGAAAGATAATCTCCATGAACCCTTTGAAAGTGCCATTGATTAGGGAAGTATCAACTTTGGGAGGTCTATTCATCTGTGTGTTGGGGAAGTCAAGCTTGTAGACCCCTGGGATGTTATATTGCTGGGCAAGCTTTAGTGGTGTTGAAGGTGGTAAATATGAAATGCCATTGAGGGTAGCACACCACTTCCCATCAATAAGCTCTGCAGGTCTATTGACGATCACATATACATCTGTCACGGTAATCTGACCATACTTAAAAGATCCCTGTGGATTTGGGCGAGCAGCACCAGCAGAGACATTCCATCTGAAAATATGTATTGTCATACCAAAAGAGAATCTATTAACAAGGATAAAACATGAAAATCAAAGGTGACAAAAATCATCAGCAACAGCAACCATGAAAATTAAACGCAATTACATGCATATGAATTTCATGGAAATGAACTAGATAAAGAACCAAATAATAGATTTCCCAATCTCAATGTTGCTTAAAGTTTCCATTTCTGTAAAATCAGTGATCAAACTCTCCAGAATATAATTCATTCCAGATTATTGAATCACTCAACAACTACATTAAGCATAATAATATCTTCAATTGCTCAAAACATTGGAGGTTAACAATATCTTCAATGTTAATCCAAAATGATGTATACTTAACTACAACCTTATCGATCTTGCTTGATTCATTGAGAAAAACGAGTCGTATTCATTAGGAGGATCAGGAAGAGGACCTGAAGCAGGTCCCTGAGAATTGGCATAGTGCAGTATAGCAACTCCAGAAGCTTTGGATGAATTGACATATCGAGGACTTGCAACAATGTAGTAATCACTGCTAGCAGTTTGATCCATTGTAACCAGGAACGAGTATGACTGCCCTACATGAATATCCATGTTCGTGTAGTTCTGCTGCACAGTGTATGATCCTTCAGTCTCCACCAGAAGCAAGTTGTGGTTTTGTATTCTGAAATTCAAGCTGGTTGAGATACCAACATTATGCACCCGGAACCTGTACGTGCTTCCTGTACAAAAATATAAAGCATTTTTTTAATCAAGAAAGCAAGAAAAGGAATTTACAGTATCTAAAATCTTAAGAAAAAAAAATTGTATCTTAAACTTTGATCACAATTGTGAGAAATGGCAGCTTAAAAAAAAAAAAAAAGCTTTGTCGTGCTAATCAGGAATTTTGGGGAAGTTCAAAATAGAATGTCACAATTAATTCTTCCATGGAAAATTCAAGTTCAGATGAAATAAGAGCAATTTGAGCATTGAATACAGGGGCACACACATACCTGGTTCAACGTTTATTATCTGGTAAGCGATGCCACCTTGTACAAGTGCCTCGTCATATCTGTACGGACCAAATCCATTGATAAGAATACCATCTGGAACTCCTAGGTCTTCTCCATTTTCAACATCTTTCCTCAGTTTCTGTTTCCCCATAAATATTGGCAAATTATAGAACAAACTAAAGGAGCTAGCATTCAGCACAAGCAGTCGGAAAAAAGAGAAGAAAACACCATCCCTACAAACCTTATGACTTTTAGTATACCAGTCACCAATAAAAAGTACAACATCTGCATCAGGTACCGCGAATGGTAGTGGAATAACATCTCTATTGTTTATAATGACCCCTCCATATCCACCAGCTGATCTCTGGAAGTTGAGGGAAGGAAAGTAAAAGAAACTTCCTATCTGATCTTTGACTTGGAACTGATATGTCCAATTCCACCCAGCTGGGATTGGACAATTAGTCCCTAAAACACCATCTTGCCAGGAGTTTTTCCTGTGCTGTACACCATTCCTACATTGAGCCCAACCAACATTAAATCATCAATCCTTCAATTACCAGATTTTGATAACAACTTTAACAATTACACACGGCCGTAAACAAACAATATACCATGTAATAAGCAAAGGTTCATCAAGATCATTCTTGACATTGACAACAACGTTCCAGTTAGTAGTGACATTAAGAATTGGTCCTGGGAATTGCCTGTTAATGCCAATCACCTGGAATTTTATTTAAATCACAAAAAGGATCATGGGTCTGCGACCAACATCATTTTAGACTTCAGGAACACAAATAAGTAAACAAGGACATAATTCAACTACCATGAACTTTGTGGAGACATATTGTACAAATTACTACATATCTTGAATTATACTATGCATGCATGAGTGGATTGAATAAGAAGAAGAACCTGTTGTTTAATTCCAAGTGGAGAGGCAGTGAGGTAGGAGACAGTCCAGTCAAAGAACACGTAAGGGTCACCAGCGAACGCACCAGTGACCCAACATAGCACTAGCACTGCATATGTGCATGAACATGGCGTGATAGAGGGCATTGGATCCCTGCCCCTCACTCTCTCTCTCTCTCTCACTCAACGTGCTATGGTTATCTTAATCTTATCTCCCTCGAGATTCCTTGCTAAGAAAATTGCAAGCGTTGTGTCCGTGTGCTTTAAGAAAAGGGAGTAGTGGTAGTGGCGCTGTGAGAAAAGGAAAAAAGTCACATGGCAGTGGCAGTGGAATGTGCTGGAAGCGGAGATGACTGCCCCACCTCTTTTGGAAGGGCCTAGTTTTCGCAGATTTCGAGGGATTTAGAGCCACAGCCAGTGGAAGTGAGTAGCGAGCCACTGGTCACGGTGGTGGTACTTTCTTTCAATCTTGGACGTGTTTGTCAAAAAGGTACCAAATGAAATGGGAATCTGACCATTTCTTTCACCGACAGATTAGGCTCGGGATCCTCATCTCCAACCCCCCTGGTTTGGGTGCTTGCTATCATGGAAATAATTTAAAGAAAGGAGCTGTGTTTATTTAATTTAATTATATAAAAAAAATTAAATGCGATCCTAGTTATATTTACTTGAAAAATTAAACACACAATAAACACATAATAAGAACAGTTTTTTTTTTGTAAATTAAATGAAGAAATTAAGAAAATTAAGAATCGAACCTTTGCTAAAAGAAGAAAAACTACTGAACACGAATGCATACAAGGACTCAACTTTAAAACAGAACGTTGAAAGGATTTACAACAGTGAATAATTACTCATTTAATTGATCACAAGAGTCTAAAAACGACCCAAGCTTGTAAACACCTATGAGGCCTGCAAAACAACCCAAACTTAGTAGCCCCAGGATTCGAGTTTGGGTCCAAAATAATTTTGTCTAAGATTATTCAACTTACCTACTATTATTTAGTATAATTTATAATTTGTCTAAGATTATTCAACTTACCTACTAAACTAAACATGAGTATAATTTATTTTTGTGTCTTGGAAATTTTTTTAAAAAATTTAATTTTTTTATTTTATTTACTTCAAATTAATATTTTTTTTAATGTTTTTTTTAAAAAAATAAATTTTTTTATTTTATTTAATTTAAATTAATATTTTTAGTAATTTAAATATAAGATTTTTTTTGTTTATATAATATTATTCGGTTTAGGATTTTAAAAATAATTTTATTTTATAATTTTTAAAAAATAAAAAAATGTTTTTATACATAAAAACCACTTTGAAAAATAATTGTAATCATACCTTCAAACAAATAGTCATTTAGTTGTGAGATTTTTTTGTGTGTATATAATATAAATATTTATTCGGTTTAGGATTTAAAAATAATTTTATTATACATTAGATATATAACTTCTAATAAGAGATAATTTTTGTATAGAGATTTTAAATCTATGCTAATATAAATAGAATTATTTAAATCATTATCATTGTTGTTGTTATAGAGCTATTTTTTAGTGCTTAAGAAACTTTTTTTTTATATATATTTTAGAGAGTTAATGTTGTGTTAATTGATACCGAATGAGGTTGCCCTATTTGATGGAATTATTTAAATCATTATCATTGTTGTTACACATGTAGAGCTATTTTCTAGTGCTTAAGAAACATTAGTTTTTTTTTTTTGATATTTTAGAGAGTTAATAATATTGTGTTAATTGATGCCGAATGAGGTTGCCCTATTTGATGAACAAAAACAATAGCAACATCAGACTACCCTCACAAAGCAAGAGAAATAACCTGAATTCACTGAACATAACACACTGAAGAAACTAAGATGCAGAGCAAGATTTGAACTGCGTGAAGATGTTGAGATTAAGTGATCAGGAAATGCTGGAAAGGCAGAACAAGGGTTGGAGTTATTCATGAAGATGTAATAAACGACAAGGAAACATCTTCTCTTCCTAAAGCATCAGGAAATGCTGGTCTTGATGATGATGGTCAGATGGGGTTGAAGGCAGTGATTTTGCTGACATTTCAATAAAGGACATTCATTTGTGAACATGCTGGCTAATTATTCATATATATATATATATATATATATATATATATATATATATATTGAAATATAGAGTTTTTATTTCTAAACATGAACTCGAGGGTATTTTTTAAAAAAAATTAAACAGTCCATGGTTTTATTAATTTGGAGAATTAAAAAATATTTATTTGAGTATATGGGGAGTGGTTGCGGTTAGTTTTTTAAAAAATATTTTTTTTTACTTAAAAATATTAAAATAATATTTTTTTTATTTTTTAAAAATTATTTTTGATATTAATGTATTAAAATGATAAAAAACATTAAAAATATATTAATTTAAAAAAATTAAAAAAATTAATTTTTTTAAAAATATAAAAATAAACATGATAAAATCCCAATCCAGCGTGCTTGATCTAGATGGGAGGAGGTTCCGGCTCATAATTATTTATGTTCAAGGATTAGCTAATATTTTAAATATATTATTCTTTTATTCGAATAAAAGTGAAACTTAAGAATAATTATGATGGTAAATTATATATCCTGACAGATGGTTATGAATAAATTGTCTGCAAGTAATGAAAGTATTTCGACAAAATCATAATCATACTCGAAGCCCATCCTTCACGTGTCATGTCTCTCCCTTCCTTTGATAGCTCACTGTCAGGTCAAAAGGAGGGAGAGTCCTTCAGTATGTTTATACTTGGTGTGTGTAAAGCTGATAGGTTTGTTTTTTAAAATATTTTTTTATTTAAAAATATATTAAAGTAGTATTTTAAAATTATTTTTATAATAATATATTAAAATAATATTAATTTAAAGTAAAAAAATTTAATTTATTTTTTAAAAATTTTTTTTGAGACAGTCAGGAGTTGCTGTTCAAAACACTTTTTTTTATTTATAAGTATATTAAAAAAATATTTTTTATTTAAAAAAATTATATTTAAATTATTATATTAAAAATAATCTAAAAACATACAAAAATTAAATTTCGAAGAAACATTGTTGAACTGCGTTTTTAGCAAAGCTTTTCGTGGCAAAAGGACTAATCTAATCATCACAACAAGAACGAGGGCTAACTTGAACTTTTCCTCATATAGGAATACTAATAATTAACCATAATTACCCCCTACGGTCACTTGAGCTCAAATATTTGTTTTGATGGCAAGGAGAAGCAATTATTCAGCTGCTTGAGGTTACGGAAATATTCTTTTTTCAAAACTATCCTCTGTAGTTTAAATATATAGTCTCTGTTAGGTTATTATTTTTGATTTAATTCAGTTTTTATTAAAATAAATAATTAAATTAATTTTAAAAAATAAAACAAAAATAAAACTAATTCAAATCGATTAGTTTATGTTTGATTCGGTTTTTCTATGACAAATATTTATTCAAATATTTTGACCCAGTTTTTTCTAGTTTTTTCGATTTAGGTTCAGTTTGGTTTTTTTAATTTTAAACTTATAAAATTAAAACAGAACTAGTCAATTTTTTTAAAATTTTAATAGATTTTTTTTATCATTCAGTTTTTTCAATTATTTTACTATTTTTTTAATTTAATCAGTTTTTTAATTTTTTTTTCTCACTCCTAACCTTCATCACAACAAAAAATGAGTAGTTAAAATATGTTTTTATATATATATAGGATACGAACTTATCTTAAAATATGGTTTTTTATAGCATATAAACTAATCTTTCACATAAAAAAAATACTTTTCTTAACAACAAAAAATATTTTTAAATCAATTTACACATTAATCAAGAATAAATTATACAAGAATGAAAAGCATGATATTTTAACTCATATGCATATTTAAAACATAATCTCAATATAAAAAATAAAAATTAATTATCTTACTAGACATTTTTATTAAAAAACAGAAGCTGCCATAATATAAAATAATCTTCACAAAAACTTTTAATTATGAATAAAAACTACAAAGTAAATAAAAAAAAGTTTTAATAAATAAAAATAAAATAATTTATCTTTTATAAAATTAAAATTTAAAATACAATCCAATAAAAAACAAAAAAACAAAAACTACGTTGTAAACAAACTACTCACGTCAATAGTAGCTGGACACCTACTTGTATGCTTTCAGTTACTGGTCCTTGACAGTTTTTGTATCAACTTGTTACCCGAAAGCAACTTTTTATTATTATTTTAATTACCACTCCTTAAATCAAGCTATCCTCATGTACTATTTATTATAGCACTGCATCATCATCATCATCATCACACCCTCCATGCACACTCAGCACCTTCACTCTCTCATCAAGCGCGTAACACCCACTTCCCACGTATTTTCAAACCTTAAACACCACCTCCTCGTCCCACTTGCCAAACTTCTTTTCGGTGGCCCTTCAGCTCACCCCAAACGGCCCCTACAATCAAGCCGCAATTACAAAACCACCATGAAAGAAAATCCAAGTGGCACTTTCCTATTAGCAAACCCCACGAGAACACCATGCCCTACCGCAGAGAAACATGCCTCCCAAGGACCCCACAATACACCACCAATAATTGATCATTCTCCTCAACCTCTCTGTATGCAAGCTGGCACCGCTGTCTTGTTCTCCTCTCCTTCTACTTCTTCGAGCTACAATCTTTCCGCGATCATCTCTCTCTCTGCAAAAAATCCTTAAACCCTAACCCTAATTTCTTCCCCAATCTGTAAATAACCATTAAATTTATGCTCTAACGACGCGAGCAACCAAAAAAAAAAAATGAAGAAAATGCTTCGTCTAATCTGTTCCCTCTCATTTCTCCTAATCTCAGTCCCAACTGTATATTCTGATAAAAATCAATCGATTTACGATGTCTTGAAAGCCCACGGGCTGCCGATGGGGTTGTTACCGAAGGGAGTGAAGGAATTCAACATCGACGAAACGGGCCGTTTCGAGGTACACCTGGATCAGGCTTGCAATGCTAAATTTGAGAGTGAATTGCATTACGATATGAATGTTACGGGGAGTTTGAGTTACGGGCAGATCGGGGCTTTATCGGGGATTTCGGCCCAGGAGTTGTTTTTGTGGTTTCCTGTTAAGGGAATTCGTGTTGACGTGCCGAGTTCTGGTCTTATTTATTTCGATGTTGGTGTTGTTTTTAAGCAGTTCTCGCTTTCCTTGTTTGAGATGCCTAGGGATTGTGTTGCTGTTCGTGATGAGGAAATTGAGGCTGTTCGGCATGGGAAGTTTATTGCTGATGCTGTTGCCAAGGTTTAGTCTCATTCATTGTCTTTTTTTTTTATCAGATTGAATCAATAATTTGTGTTTTGAGCTTCATTTCCGATTGAAATTCATCAAAAAACTGAACTGGATAGGGTGGTTCGCAAATTCATGTTGTACGCCCTACGTTGGTTGATGTTTTTGACTCTCTCTTTTTTTTGTGGGTGTTTGCGGTCTGATGTTTTTTTAATTTTATTGCAGAGTCAATCTGGGAAGTTAAGATATGGGCTTGATCAGGAAAATTTTGGGAAGGATTTCCTGTAGTGTGTGCGGGAGAAGGTTACTTATGATGTGCACTAGCTCAATCAGTTTGTGGGTTC